GGAAATCTTGTGTCGCGGGTGCCATGGATACACATAGACAACCACAAAATACACCCAAACTCACGAGAGAAATAAATGTAGGCCATACGAATATTTCTCCCGGCCCGGGAATCAAACCTCTGCGTGGCAGTCCGACATGGCAACCATTCGGCTTTGGAGGCAGTTAAATCAGAAATATCTGAGAAGCACTGCCACTGCGTCCGTCACCCTGAGACATAAGTTGATAAGTCCCATGTGCCTGTAATTTCACCAGCACCCTTACCCTTCAAAACCGTAACACAGTTATGCTCACATTACTGCATAGCGGTAGTAGGTAAGGTGACAGTACTTCCCTGGACGAATTTTTTGATTTGTTGCTTGCTTGTTTTTGTAATATTAAGTTTATTGAACGTTACGACATTTTCGTGAAAGTACTCCACTAGCTTGTTATAATTCGAACACAAAGAATCATGATATGGCGAGGTCACTGGTTCGAATTCAGCCGGATCAAAGGATTTTTTCTTTATGTGCGAACTTTGTATTAATAATTACAATAATAATTAACATTATTATATATAATTAAATTGATTTTTTTGATATGATATGGTCTATAGTAATTTTACTTTAGTCACAGTTATATGTATTGCCCATAACACATTATACGCCAAACCACACACATCTTTACAAAGCCGCCAAAAACTATTCTCGTGTTACCTCCTCCACTTTATTCATCCGACGTACCCTCTTCAGAGTTTCAGTTGATTCACTTGTTTGTTGTGTTAATATATAAAAATGATATTAAGACAAAGATAAAGTAGGGACTGTTGAAGATTGTATAATTTAGGTTCCCTTCTTAATGCTTATTTTAATACTATAATTGCTTTATTTATATATGTTTTACTTGTATTGTATTAGATTTTATTAGATTTTTATCTTTACTTAATCTACAACACATATCACACGTAGTTATTAATGTTATAAGTACTGTGTGATATACATTTTAATGCGATGAGTTCGTGTATTACTCAAGAAAACACATCCACGAACATCGATAAACTCGTACAGTGTAAATTATTATTACTTTGTTTCATTATAATGTAAGAAATTACACGAAATAGGTGGCAAATAATATATCGTTTGATACAATTCAAATTTTAAGTACACATCCAACCCTACCTACTACCCGAATATCATATTTTTAAAAAAGGTTGTTATGAAAGATTTCCCGTTAATTTTTAATGCTGTAAAAGTACAGCCTCCAAAAATTATATTTGAAAATTCGTTGTTGCCGCACGAAGTCAACAACGAACGTTACAAAATTGGTAACTCCTTTTTAAATTACTCTGAAATTTCATGGAGTCTAACAACAAAGTCCGTCATTTGCACGTTTTGATAAGATTAATTATCCCATGAATTGTTTGTCAAGGCGATTGAAAACATTTCCCTTTATATGAAAAGTTTTCATCTAAAAGGAGAACGCAATTTTCAATAGTAGCACTGTACTGACGCAAGTTTCCTATCGCACAAATAGAAAGCAACCACTTCCTCAATTGTTATACGTACCTACACATAGTTATGTGCAGTATATGCGCTATCAGCGTTAAGGTTCCTTTTGAAAGTCAACGTTATAACTGAATAATGGATGCGATAATGCTTGAAACTTGGTGTTGAAATATCCTTTTCATCCCAGAATTCATTTTATCTAAGCACCTGCATTAAATTTTCGAGGCGAAAGCCTACTATTGTGTGAAAACTATGTGTGTGGTGTTGTGTGAAAATGTTAAACTCTGTTACGTTTCAAGCTAGACTGGATTTTAAAAATAACGCCATTTCATTTTAAATTTAGAATTTTTTCTTCGCTGCCAGTGCTGCTCTATACACTGTTGCATTTCTTTATACAGATTGTTCTCGTTTATAGATTATGTAAATAATAGTATTTAGTAGCAGTAGCTTTGTGAAACAGTTCGTCCCGACAAATATTGCCACCACACCTATTTCTGTCGCCAATTATTGCGTTCCAGCTTTGAAGGGTAAGGGCGCAAGTGAAACCGGAGGCACAGGACTTGTCAACATTATATCTCTGGGTGACGGGTACGGTAACAGGGCCACTCAGATGATTGCGATTTAAAGCTCTGAGTGGCAGTTACAATGTTACGAATAGGGAAGGTACTTGAATTTATAATGACAATTCAGTGCCTCCAATGAAAAACGGAATAAGACGAGTTATACCCTTTTTTTTTCATTACACCATTGGCTTCATCGTGTCCGATTACATAAGATATCAAAAGGACATCTCTCTAGCAGTCTCCTAACGTCATTTTTTTATGGCACTAAGGGCATAAGTCGCTGTTTGTTAAGGCATAACTTTAGTTATCCGGCATTTTTTATGAATCTGAAGGTACAAGTTTTCTCAACTCAAAAAATACATGCAAGTTTAACGAATAACTACAGATATACTTATACATAAAGATACTTTTTTGTATTGTTCCATAATGACGGGGAAATAAAGTAGGACTAAAAGCGACTATTGCCTTATTACATAGTGTACATAAAGGTATAACGAGCTGTCCGTTTGTTCCACTGGTCACCATTGGTCATACCCGCGGCTAAACCGTGATGCTATTGATTAATAGTTCGCAACAGAAAACTTGTCGTTTTATTCTTTTAACAATTTCATATCTTTTGTCAATACGGTTAGTATCATAAGTACTGTTATAACCATTTAACAGTCGCAGTTAAGGGAATACACCGGTTTATGTCTTAAAGTTTGTTAACATAAGTCATGTTATTACCGTTAAGTACTCATAAACAAGGACGCAACTTGAAAAAAACTTAAAAAAAATATAGAAAATGTGACAGAATATGTTACCAATACCCATCATACGAAAGCTTAGATGTATACCTAAAGCTAGAAATCATAAAAAGTAATATACTTCATTTCAATCCATTTTGAACAAAAAGTAAACAAACTAGTCACTGACCCAACCATAGACGGTTTAGTGATAGCCAATTATAACGCCAACTACAAATCGTATAAGTAATTTAATGAATCGATTAGTTCAATTGAGTCATACTAGCGGTTTTCCTTATATAACCTATATAAGCATATTTAAGATTACTAAACTTTAATTGATTGCGCCGAATGGTTTTTTTTTTCACTATGCAACCATAGGCAAGTCATAGAAGTGTACATGAAGAATAACCTCACTTTTAGACTATCATTTTTCAAATACGATTTTACAATGCTATTCAAATGAATATTGTTGGAAAAAGTGATGATATATTAAGTCGAAATCTTCGAAATATACGTGAAAGTATTACTTATTCGATTTATTGAGTGATTGCTTTAGAATTTTAACCAAACAGATTTGTTTACTTTTTGTTCAAAATGGATTGGAACAGACTATAATAATAAACGCGAACAACCATTAATCAACAAAAGTATGGTTTTCTGCGTCTTCTGAAAAGTATCGATTTTGAGTTATTCCCTTTTTCACGGGAGGCACTGAATTATTACGTCATACTTTATGCCTCGATATAACATCGATGGCATCTAGAATAACGTAAGTACGCAAGAATGTAGCTACATGTTTTGGTTGTAGTAACGTTAGAACGAAAACAAGTTCAATATCCATAAACTGTTCACAGTTTCGACGTTTCGCACCGACCAAGTCGCGTATTGCCCTTGTTGAAATGGAAACTCGGGAGCGCTTTCACAGTTCCAAGTTATCGAGGAGATACATTGACGCTGTTTGTCTGCAATCGTTTATTATTCACTGCAAAGATATGTACGTACCGTATGTGTTTGCAAGACAGTGAATTCAGCAGTTATTGAAGCGCAGTGAGATAAACTGACTACACTAAGGGAGCTTTCTTGGCATCCACTCAAATTGCATTGAATTTGCTAACGGAATCACTCAGTCGTTCCTCAACTGGCGCGCTTTAAATTTGAAACTAACATAGAAGGTAAAATACAAGTAAAAACATTAAAGTCGAAAGTAAAAAAGTATAGGTAAATTTTTAAAGAAAAATTCAATTTGTTATAATTATTAATACAAAGGTCGAATACTTAGAAAAAATTTCTTCGTAGTGTTCGATCTTTGTATTAATAATTATAACAAACTAGTGGAGTAATTTCACAAAAAATAATTGAATATCAATTCAATAAAAATTTAATTAATACAGTGAATAGCGACATCTCTCGCCAGGACTGGTAGCTGTAAAGGTACTAACTGGGTGATAAATCTGCAATAGATTTCTCAAAGATGGCGCTACGACTAAAAAGTCGTTGAAAGACCAAGTACAAAGACACGACGCAAGCACAGAAAAATTCGTGAGGTCCGTTGGTTCGTTCCGTGGCTTAGTTGGTATAGCGTCTGGCACGGTATGCAAGAAGACGTCGGTTCGAATCCGACCGGATCGAAGGAATTTTTTCTGAGTGTTCGATCTTTGTATTAATAATTATAAAAAACTAGTGGAGTAATTTCACAAAAAATAATTGAATATCAATTCAATAAAAATTTAATGGTATGGCACGATATGGAACGGTTTGCTAGAAGACGTCGTTTTGAAGCCGATCTGGTCGAAATAATTTTTTCTAAGTGTTCGATCTTTGTCTTAATAATTATAACAAACTAGTGGAGCAATTTCACAAAAAATATTCAATATCAATTTAATACAAATTTAATTAAAAATTCAATTGCATTATTTCACATGTGTAAATGTGAAATTGGAAAGGCTGCTGCACTTCGGTAGAGAATCGACTTTCCGCCTAGTTTAAGTACCTATCAGACCATACTGTTATGTAAACAGGGAAGTAACTACATGTAAATTATCAAATGAGAATGAGCATAACTTATTATACATACTAGATACAGTGCATCGTACTATATCGGCGACAATTTTGATGCAAATTTGTCGCTTTGTTATCAAACGACTACAATCCAATTTGGCTCACAATCCCAATGTAATAAAAATACTTCAGATAGATACAAATGACAGACTCGCAAATTTTTACATACCTTTCATCTTCTGGTAGCTCGATGTAAAGTGGTTGAAGAGTGATGTTGCGCAGATGGAGCGGGTAATCGCCAGCGAGGTAGGTCTGCGAAATTTCCGCCAAGGAGCGGTTGAAGGCGCGCACGGCGGCGGCGGCCGAGGGCGGCGCGGCGATGCCCACGAAGAAGGCCGAGCGCGAGTCGGCCTGGAGGACTCGAAGCTCGCGGCCCGCCGCGGCCGGCGCGGGGGTGGCCAGCGCGGCGCACGCGAGACACGCGCCCCACGCGGCCCAGAGCAGCGCGGCCACGCGCATGTCGCCGCGCGCCCTCACCGCGCCCTCGCCCCGCGCCTCCCTCCCCGCCGCCCGCGCGCCATGCCCCGCGCGCCCGCGCACGCACCATCCACAGCGCCGCCGCCGCTAGCGCCCCTCCCCGCGCCGCCACATCCACCCCGCTCACTCACTTCACACCACCACAATTAGTCTCTCACAAGTAGACACTTCAGTGACTGATTAAATAAACACTAGTGTATGGACGGTTACACTGGTCGACGGCACTAAATGAAACTCCAACCGTTTATCGCGCTCCTGAAACAAATAAAAATAGTTTTAATAATGCTATAAATTCTACACGTATCAGAATTGTAATATAATCTGTAACAGAGGTGGAAAGTTCAAGAAAGTGGTTTCTACGACGGCGATGTAGAAAATGGTTCTGCGATGACTATGGAAAATTTTAAGATTGCGAAATATTTTCCGCATTATGTGGGTATGTTTCAAGCTTCACATCATGTAAAGTACACTATTACAGAGGCCAGGAAGTAAGGAATTGCCGGACGAGAATGAGTTAAAAGGGCAAGCACTAGTGAGGGTTTCCGGTCCCGCCGAGGACTAAATAGTTGTTTTCTCAAACAATGTGTGGGAATAACATAAAAACTAACCACTAAGGAGAAGATTTATTATAGGAAAACTTTAAAAAATATAAGGTTAAAAGTAAAAGTGTAAAATATAAAAATGACATGTTAGAGCAATTGCTGAAAAAAAATTCAGGCACACAAATAAAATTTACTTTTATTAATACCAGTACCACGTATTTTTTTTTAAAAAGACCATCGTAACCTTTTGGTTTATTGTACTCATAGATTTAGTATAAACTATGATTGACTGGTTTCTTTTGTTTTTTAAAGAATGTGATGCATTCGAGCACGAGAATTGATACTCGTGGACAATTGGCTGTGTGACAGTATTTCTTTAGTCTGTTTAAACAACTCGTTGTTACTTGATAGATTTAAAAGGTTAGAGCAGCGGACAACTTTCCCGGCCTTTAAATGATAAACTTTTGTATTCTATCTTTGGAAATACTTAATACAAATATTTTAAGCATGTTTGAGAAAATTGTAATTTGTAAGTAATACAAAAATATTAAGTTTCAAAAGGTTTAGTTAGCTGATCTTTGGAGCCTAAACTAAACTCTGTACCAAGTGTAATTTACCTCACGAGCACAGTCTAACGAGCGAAAGCACTTGTCGCGACATAACCTATTTATTTTCTCGAAAAAGCGCTTTCAGTTAACGCCGTTCATTAATTATTCGGATATATCCAGTAAAGCGGGGAAAACCTCCGAGGAATTTGAGTCGTTATTTGACGCTTTAAGCTACCTACTCTTGTTTTATGGAGGAACACAAAAAAAGTGTTCTTTGGCATATTTCTCATTTCACTTTGTTTTACCAAGTTAATGGAACAAATTGGCATTAACATTAGCATTAACATTTAATTTAACATTTTTCTTATGGTGTTTATAATAAGCTCGCAATCGAATATAAGAGCCTTCGCACACGGCGTATTTTGTATGCGCCGTAAACGCGCGTAATCAGCGCGTGAATCGGTTCAAACATGTGCAAACATCGCGTTGCAAGCAAGAAGTTTATATAGATTTTCATGTAGTTACTTCAATAAATTACAGATTCGATTCCTGGGCCGGGAGAAATCTTTGTATGCCTTGACATTTATTTCTCTCGTGAGTTTGGGTGTAACTTTATGAAATAAAATTAAAAACTAAAATTAAAACTATCTCTTATCAAAATGCGCGACACACGCGTGCATTTACAGCGCGTCGGCGGCGCATATAAAATGCCGCCGTGTCGTAGGCTCTCATTGACAATTTTAGCAAGAACGAGCTTAAGTGCGCCTTCAAATTAGACGCTTATATTACGCACTATTGCAACGCTTCTACAATCCTCTAATTTCAACGCGATATAAGTGACAATATTAACTTATCAAAGTTATTAACATAGATAAGGTTAGTACAAACTTGCACTCACCGTTCGTAGATACTCAGACGCGTCCGGAGCGGTGCGTAGATTAATGCATACATTTTTTAGCAATGAAGTAAAAGCAAATGTATATTGTCAATTTATTTATAGCATGATAGATGTACTTTTGGATTTTCTGTTCATTTGGTAAGTTATCTTATTATATTGACAACTTTAAATAAGTTACTGGTGTGAGTATGACCTACTTATCGACTGCTTAAAATAAAACAATGTCGCGCTAGTTTTTTTATCTCAACTCCAGAGTATTTTTATATCTGTATTATCTATGCTTTTTTACTTAATCATGTACATCAGCAGGGACCTGTTTGCTTACTTACTTTAATTACGTGACTTAAATTTTCATTATTTATAAATAAATAGCGAAAATGTGAGGGACCAATGCGCTGCGATGGACCGTCAGTCTGTAATTGGTTAATTATTAATATGAAAAAGGCGTGCTGTTTTGTGGGCTGGCCATGGTCGTCAGGTGTACAAGGAAAGTGAAACTACAGATCGACTGATAGATTCGGAATTTCATGTTCTGATCATGATTAGATACTTATTGGATTATAAATTAACACCGAGAGAAAAATCATTACACAATGCATAATTTTTCTAAAGCCAGTCTTATATTCGAATTTATATAAATTCGAATCTTATATTCGGATTTATATAAATAAATTGACAAAGTGTTCATAAAGTATTGTAAATAAAACAATGGCGTGAAATAATAAAACATTGTCCGCCATATTTCATTTTCTCACAAGCACTTGCCACGAGAATAAAGACAGTGCTCAAAAATGCAATAAGCAGATTCGTATATAATAATTTTCTATTCATATTTAAGAATCTCTTCATTGTAAAGGTCAAAGTTCTGTGAGGTTAGGAAATTCGAAAGATTTTTTCAAGTATACCAACCGGCAAACAACTACCGTGAATGAAATTACATGAACTGAAGTTTGTCTTACATTGATTACGTTTTTACTAAATCGATACCTCCAATGAACACTAAGCCAACTTCACTTTTGAACCTGTTCTATTTTTATTTTGTTTCTTTTTTTCACAGAATTCGGGGAGTACAACTAAGATTATATTTATATTAAACCGCCATATTTATTTACTAAGGCAAATAAATATGGCTGTTTACAAAAATAACAGAAGACGACCAAAAAATAAAGATGGCGTAGTGTTCATTGGAGGTATCGAAATGATAATCATCCGAGCTCTTTCTGAAAGACTTCGTACGGGGAAATACTGCCGCCTTACCTATAACTGCCGTCAAGCAATAATGTGAGCATTACTGCATACCAGTTTTGATAGGTAAGGGTACTGGTTAAATTACAGTCACATGGGACTTGTCAACTTAATATGTCTCAAAGTTTTGCGATTTAACGCTCTGTGTCGCATTACAACTATTATGAACAGGCGTGCCACTTACCAGCAGGCGCACGACTTGTTCGTCCCGTCAATTAGAATCATAAAATAATACAAAAATAACATTAAAATAAGTATATAGTAAGTTTTTTATTTCATCGAACAGTTTATTATATTTTAAAGTACAAGTTGTGTAGTAGAACTTTTTAACAATGTAGTTTTAGGCATTTTGTTCACAACAAATCTATTTGGTTTTTAGGTTTTCGTGATTGTTACACTTTGTAAATGAAGCTATTTTTTAATTTTTCAAACTGTTTTCAATACTTTAAAAAATAAATGCTACAAAATTTTGGAACAATTTTTACCGCGTGCAAAATTATTCTCAACGTAGATACCATAAAATGTACTACAATTACCGGTGAAACCATGTACTGTGTTACATTATAAATTTTACCTTATCTGAAATGCGTTTTGAATTTAATTTTGTACGCTCTGGAACTTCTATAATGGTTATTTATTGTTGCACGATATATGATAGCACAAATATCGATATTAATGACATAAAGCATTCTCTACCAATAATTTAAAATAGTATTCCACACAAATAAGACTTCGAAAATTTATTAGCAAATTTATATGGCATAAAATACATGTAATGTAATTTGAAAGTACATAATAATGGTCGACCCATGGCAATGAGAAATGGATGGAAACTACTTTAAATATTATAATTTTATTTATTGCGAATAGAACCGATCAAATGTGAAAAAAAAACATCCTGAATTTTATAATGGTCATTGAAATGTAGTGTTCTTGTAAATGTAGCACTTTTAGTGGCGATAGAGCTCCTTTTGAAAGAGTTCATCCTGGGAAGTACTGCCACCTTACCTATTTCTGCCGTCAAGCAATAATGTGAGTATAACTGCTTTTTGTCTTTGGAGGGTAAAGGTGCTGGTGAAAAAAAAAAACAGGCACATGGGACTTGTCAACTTATGTCTCAGGGTGACGGGTGCTGTGGCAGTGCCCCTCAGATCTTTGTGATTTAAAGCTCCGAGGGGCACAACAACTGCTATTGTCAATTGGTATTATTAAAAAAAAACAAATTCCTTAAGAATTAATTCCTTTTAAGTAACATAGCACCTTTTTTTTATAAATATTACACACGCTTGGCTAAAATCTCATCTGAAGTTAAAAGATGATGTGACCGACGATTGTACGCGATTACCTAAAAAATACCTGAATAGGTATTCAGGTAGTCTCTAGTCTTGAACAGTGTTGGGCGTTAATCAATTAAATTTCAATCAATAATTCAATCAGATTAAAAAATCAATTCAATTGAAATCAATTATGGGCCCCCAACCGGGCCCCCCACCGGGCCCCCAACCGGGCCCCCCAACCAGGCTCCCCAGCCGGGGCCCCCAACCGGGGCCCCAACCGGGGCCCCAACCGGCCTCCAACCGGGCCCCCAACCGGGGCCCCCAAGCGGGGTTCGCAACCGGGGCCTCCAACCGGGGCCCCCAACCGGAGTCCCCAACCGGGCCCCCAACCGGGCCCCCAACCGGGCCCCCAACCAGCCCCCTAACCTGCCCCCAGCAGGCCCCCAACGGGCCCCCACAACCAACGCTCTAA